TGCTTTTTGTGCGGTTTCCCTAGCTGACGGTGGATAACACATGGTCTCTGTGTAAAAAATGACGTTGAAGATTACCTTTAAAAACATCTTTTAATTATACCATAAAAGAAATGGCTTCTATACCTAATTTCACCACTGGCTGTAGCCACTGCGCCATCTTCAAACATGAATGTCCTTTCGTATGACATTCCAGCTGGAAAGGCTTGCTTGAAATAGTCAGGTATGTTGGCAGGATACTTAGTGAAGCATCTGTTTCCATACATAAATGCTGACGACAGTATGTCAAAGGAGAATGGAAGGGGTCCCCTTTGGACCTCAAAATTGGCATTCTGTTTCCCTCTAAAATAAGATGATAAACGTGTTGAAAATTATTTTCAGAAAGGACTCACTTATGAATGGAAATGTACGAAATTTCAGGGTGGACCAAAGATTTCATGCTCATGATGATTTAAGCTTCAGTCAAGACTACAATATCGTACTTACTTGAATCAAGTTATGACTGAGCTTTTACAAGATAACTTGCAGTAACTTTTACACCTCACCTGATTCTGGAGAAAGATGACGATGATGTTTTGGAACATAGGTTATTTGAAAAATCGAAAAGACAAGCTCGTAGTTTGACCTAAAATCTTCTAATGAGTCTTTTTTCTTGCTCACTTATCATTTCCAAACATCACTAATACATTGTCAAGCCCTTACTTGTGTTTAACAATAAATTGCAATACATGGTAATAAAATAATTTCTGGTCTGTCTTGTAAGAGACACTTACTCGTAAGGGTTTCCGTTTCCAACTCCTGTGATCGTAAAGGGGTGTCCATTGACACAGCCCTCCATTTTATATTTCATAGCCATGTCTTCTGAAATGCCCTGATTAGGCAAGAAAGTAAAGAAATTATTATTTTCTACTGAAATTAATAATTTAGAGACCTAAGTTGGTTTTCCAGCGGATTACTTGTACGACTGTATAAATACCCTTTCAAACTGGCAAGTTAACTTTGCGAAATAAAACGATCAAGTTCATCCTTTTTTTTACCCTGCCAAATTGTTCCCAACGTTGTGTCATTACTGAGATTGACTCGTCACTCTAAGGGATAAGTATTTATCTATTACAGGGGAAGAGAGATTTTTTTTGGGGGGGGAGCACACAGTTTTAAGAGGGAACCAAGGGTGAATCAGTAGTCGTCAACAAAATATTAAGGGACTATACAGAATTGACTGCCAATTAGCTGGTATTGACGGGAAGGGGGGAATGATAAGAATATTTCAGAACCTTAGGGGGTCAGGTAAATCTTATCGGGAAAGAACCAAACTCCTTCAAACAATTCCCCCCTCTTCCCCTTAGGCGATAATCAATGACCACAGGTAAAGATGAAGTTTGTGCTTTTTACAAAATATTGTGAATCCTACTTGAGAAAAGGCTAGAAGACCCAGGAAAATTGTCAAAAATTCACCCCCGATAATAATTAATTTACTTGATTTTCATGCGCAGGTCGAATGAAATTCATTTCATTATAGATTAAGCTCAGATTCCTCCAGCGGGTGGACTCCTAGTTAGTTAGTAGCAGCGCCCAACCAGAATCTGAGAGGCGCAAGTTTGAATCCTGTCGAAGCCTAACTTTTTCATAGCCTACTTAGAATTCACTTACTTGCTTTAGATGAGACATGTTGAGGATAAGTGGTTTGATTTTCAAAACTTGATTAGGAGTTGAGATAATCTGTTGTAATTCACTCCGTCGCCGACGAAGCTGAACTGACTGCAGTGGTAGGGTGGATCGATTTTAAAGCTAAATAGAACAAACAAACACTCATTGATGATGATGATCCCACGTGAGCCATCATGTGATTTAAAATAACGATGATCCAGCGTGAACCATCATGTGATTTTTATTAATGATGATCCCACGTGAACCATCACGTGAAATTTAACAATTGGTTCATGCTTAACGCGCGTGTATCGTTGAAGTATCTAAAGCTAAGATCTCCAAGGCCAAAGAGCCTCGTGCATTCATTGTTTATTTCCAATCAATTTTCATTGAGGATATATACATTTTTTTATCATTTTGGGCGCCAAAAGGTCTGCCTCGGTCAGATTGGAACAAAAAAACAAAATATAATGTTTTGAAACTCTACGGGAACTTTGCAACAAAGTGAAACTACAGTGATCTTATTTAGGCACCGCCATCGTAGTGGCTTTTAAGAAATTAGATAAGATTTTCATGTGCGTACTGCGTTGGGGCGCGGCAAAAATTTATTTCCCGCACCAGTCTTTCTTAATTAAGATGAGTGATTATATAACCATGGAAGATAAACTACATATTGACTTTTCTAGTGCATACTTTGACCCTTGCCTGATCTTTTTAAAATTTGACTTCTTTCGATTCCTTGTTTTTGGATATGAGACTCTTTATAGCTTATGCAATTTGTTGGTTAGTAACCTTTTTCTTCTTTTAACTAACTTGCTGTTTACGTAACGTATTATTTGATTAATCAATTCTTTGCTATAAGCAAAGTTATCGATGGACAAAAAAATAAAAAACCGGCTTCTTTAAAGGTAACGGACAGACCTTGGCAACTGATAACATTATCATTAACATTATCATTATATATAACTTTATGTTTTTGAAGTTTTGACCTCAAGTGTTGGTTTTTTGTTTTGTTTTGTTTTTTGTTTTGAAATGGATGTTTAAACTTACCAATGGAGACATGATATGCTGAAACAATTTCTTGATTCTGATATTAGCTAAAAGATACGAAGTTTGCAGGAAATATGATGCAAAAATAACAAAATGTAAAGGAAACAAATAGGATCTTAGTGTAGAACTTTACAAAGAAAAATGAGCAATCTGACTTGGTTGATAAATAAAGGCACCCAAAAAGAGTTTCTTTTAAATGACGCAAAANAAGAGATGATAACACGGGACGAGGTCGATACTGAGAGCTAATAACAAGTAGCTCCTTTTGTCGCCGTTCAGCTTAAACTTATTACAGCACATCCAGTTGACTATCTCACGAGCACAGGCTTCAACCTGAGAAACTGCCAAAGCCTCCGCATCACGACCCCGGGAATCGAAGGACAAGTACAACTGGGTATCATCGGCATAAAAGTGATAACCCATGTTATACCTTCCAACAATATCCCCGAGTGGTGAAGTGTACAGTAAGTAGAGTATGGGACCTAAAACAGACCCCTGAGGAACCCCACATAGCAATGGGCGATGTGTAGACCACTCCCCCCTAATACCAACAAACTGGTAACGATTGCAAAGATAGGAGGTAAATCAAGAGAGCGCGGAGCCAGTGATACCGAACCGAGTAGCTAGTAAAATAGTGTGGTCTACCGTGTCGAACGCAGCGGACAAATTTACAAGTAGTAAAATGACTGACTTATGATTATCTAAAGCTATCAAAATATCATTTTGGACTCTGAGAAGTGCCGTCTCAGTACCATGCAGTTGTTTGTAAGCAGATTGGAAAACTTCATCAAGGTTATTTATCGTGATATAATCAATCAGCTGCAGAGCGATAGCTTTCTCATTAAGCTTTGACATGAACATTAAAATAGAGATTGGGCTAAAATTAGCGAGAACCTCAAAATATAGATCTGTTTTTTTTAGCAGTGGATTAAGCATAGCCAACTTGAAACAGTCAGGCACCACAGAGGTGTTAATAGAGAGGTTGACAGTCTTGGTCATCACAGGCAAAAGCACTGACTTTCCTTCCTAACAACAGCTGGAGCAGGATCGAGAGGACATGACTTTATAGCAGAACCAGTAATCAGACTAGACACTTGAGCTTCAATAACATTCTTGAAATGCGAAAGCACACAGCTTGCATGAGAGAAATCATCACGATGTACTAGAGTACTTGAAGAACCGTGTCTAGTGAATTTCGCAAGCTAGTAATCTCAGTAAAAAAGTCAGCGAATTCATTGTCAGAACTCGATGTAGGATAGAGAGAGTCAGATTTAGTGTGTAGTAACCTATCAACTGTCTGGAACAGAACCCTCTGATCATGCTTAGAATTCTTGATGATGTTGCCATAAAAAGAAACTATTGCTGATTAAGCAGGCCATTGACAGCATCGCACTGTTTCACACAGTTCTCGTAATCTCCAGGTAGATGTGTTGACTGCCAGCGACGTTCAAGTGATCTTCTCTTACATTTTTCTGGAGCGATCTCGTCAGTATACCATGGAGAGTGTGGGCGAACAGTGACGGTTTTGGTCTTAACAGGAGCATAAACATCCACAAGTTTCGATAAAGTAGTGTTCAGCAAGAGGTTCAACAAGTAACAGAGGCTAAACGAGTGCATCGAGGTCAGGAGAGGGATCAAGTATTAAGCTAGAATTATAAAGTTCATTGCGAAGTTTGTCAAAGTCAATTGACCGAATCTTGCGGAAGGAGATAGTTTTCCTTTCCAGAGGAGGCTTAGCTAAAGCTAAGTTAGAATGGACAGCGAAGTGGTCAGAAATCCGATGTGGTACACAGCAATTTGTAATAATTCCATTTTCGCTAGCTCTTGTGATAACCAAATCGAGTGTGTGGCCAACATGATGAGTTGGCCCAGCAATATGTTGTATAAGATCGAAGGAATCGAGAATACTTAAAAAACGCCTTGCATCATAACCATTTGCTTGGTCTACACGAAAATTAAAATCTCCAACAAGTAACAGAGGTTCAGGTGTCAGGATTAGGGGCTCGAGAAGAGTGCTAAATTCATCAAAAAAACAAAGCCACACTAAGAACATGAGAAGATGGAGGAGGACGATAAATAATAACAAGTCTCAAATTGTAATTACCAGTCGATTTTAAAAGGACTCGTACAATTTCAAAACTTCTGTATTCCTCAGATTGCAATGTAGTAACTTTGAAAGACTTTCTGACCAGAAGACCGTCCCCCCGCCTTCCGAGGTTGCCCTAGGAATATGATGGAATGTAAATCCAACAGGACAAATATCCCGACAAAAATAAACATCGAAGTCATCATCGTGAAGCCAGGTTTCAGTAATCGCTAAAATGTCAATATTATGTTCAGTCACATAATCATTCAGCATTAGAGTCTTATTCCTAATAGATCTTGAGTTAATAAGCGCGAAATTTGAGACCACTTGTTGACGCCGTAAAACAAACTCCGGTACGGATTGCAACAGGATGGAAATCAAATTGCTTCTGTTGACACACGAGTGCAGCGGAGCAGAACACGCTGGAGTAGATCGCACAGAGATTATGGTTGTTACTGTTGTCACGCAATTTCGTCATTTCCGGTTTATTTATTTCCATTTTGTGTTTATTTTTGTCAGCTGGAGTATAATGAATGTTGTTATAGTATTAGACAACAATCAAAATAATATATCCATATATGAGTAGGTTCCTACAGATGCCAAAGGTTAAAATTCAAGGACTTTTCAATGACTTTGAAGGCCAAGTTTTAGAAAATTGAAGGACCACTTTTGCAAAGGTTTGCATAAACAATTTTAAAATTATTTTATATTATTTCTCAACTTTTCCATGAAAGTACTATAATTTTCAACTTGAAAATTGCTAAAGAAAAAGCATTGCAAAAATCAAGCCCTGCGTCCTCAGATTCAAGTACTTTCTAGGCCTTGAATTTTTATTTTTAAATTCAAGCATCTTCAAGGACTTTCAAGGCTTTTACGAACCCTGAGTAGGTAATGTATTTGCCTTTAACTGCAAGGAGAAGGGAATTTTTTATTTATTATTGGTACCGAGTCAAAGTTTGTTGCCAAATGTTCACCCAAGGGGAGTTGTCAGAAATCAGCAGATTAAAGCGATATTACTGTTCAATAGTTCGTATTGTTTTCAATAGTTCACATTGTTTTCAATAGAAAAATATCTGAAACCACCCTAACATTATATAGCTAAAGGGAGTGCTTTTGCATGGTAGAGCATCAATTTTGGGAATTATGTATTATAAAACTGTAACAAAATGATGGAGTTGTTTCAGTATTTGGTACCAATGCTGAGTTCTTTTCCTGTGTGTTGATCGGAAACAACGACAAATAGGTCTAACCGAGGAATTATTCATAAGTTATAACATGAGGTTCAATGTTCTTTCTTCAGTTTTTTGGATGACCTGTTCTTGTACTATTTTGAACTTTATTAAATTTTAACCCCTATCAACTCAAATATATCATCGTTATGTATACTCTGAAAATAATGTACTAAGCTATTCAGTAATGATACTTCAAGCAGCACACATGTACCTTGAGGATGGCTTCTACTATAAATGTCCCTTGCATGAGAATCGAATATTTTCAAGCCCACATTGCCTTTACAATGGCAACTGCCGTACATCCTATTATCAAGACAAAATTGTTGAAATTTTTGGATATGAGTGATTGAAAGGCTCTATCTAAGGAGGTACAGTACTGATATCCTTCTGTTGTAGCTTCTTGATGAATAGTACCTGTGTAGCTTTCACTGCGGTATTGAAGTTCACAGTCAGTCTCGAACACATTTAAAAGTGTCGGTAATTCTGTCTGCATTAAAAATGATTGTCTGCTTAACTGAGACAAACTTGAATACAACTGATTCCCAACATTCCTTATTGACACCAGATCATTAGCACAATTTATTCCTTGTTTGTTATTGTAAATCAAGGAGCATTAACTCTTTAAGTTGCAATGCATTGTTGTCCTGAATTTTGTCCAAGTACCACTCATTAGCTTGGCTATATGGTGCCGTTATTGTTTTGCTTATGGTGCCGTTATTGGTTTTTCCCTATATCTGAACTCAGTTGAGATTTACAATAGTTTAGTAAAAGGTTAGAAGAATTACAAAGAATGTTTGTAAGCTTAATACGAAGAGGGTAAGATTAGATAAAGTTACACAACACGAGAAGAAGTATTTGTTGAACTGTTCCATGAGGGTATTTCAGAGGATAATTAAATTGAAGTATAGAGAAAGTCGGTATTTATCAATGTTTTCTTGTAATAGACCCAACTCTCCCCACATACTAAGGAACCCCAGGTAAGAGGATATTTGTAAAAATCCATTGAAAACAGTGAAGATGGACAGCATCGACGATGTAGTCAAGTCGATGAGCTTACTCGGGGTACCTTAGTATTTGTGAAGAGTTGGTGTTAGAAGACTATGGGGAGGACCCGTTGAGAGAGATTTGACTAGGGTCCAGGTTGACCGCTCATTAACGGTCTCTCAGCTGCACAAGAAGTTCCTTTCACGCATTAGAAGATTTCAGAACGGCTGTTAAATTGAAATTCTCGCTAGAGTGGTTGCTCGAAAAACCGTCTTTTGTGGGATTTTTTTCGGTGAACTTAAAGGGCAACTGTTTGGCTTTCGTGCTGCCAAGTGTTGACTCGAGGGAAAGTATTTAAGTGTTGTTTCCGATCGATTTTGGCGAGCATATGTCAACAGAAGTTTCTGACCTTCCCGTATTTTGTGCATGGTGATTTAGGGCGTCAAGCTAAAACACATCAAAACGCCTCAAATCGCGAGGAGAACAACACAGCCTACTCTCTATGAAGGTAAGACTTCATTTCTTTGATCGTTTCGCACAACTTTACATTTACGGAGCTCAAAAGCAAGTCGAACTAAACCACTATACAAACTCTTTAATTATTCACTGTGAACGAGCCTGTGACAGAGCTTGGGCCACCTGTGGATATACCATCGAATTTTTGGATTTGTCGAATCAAATAATCTACTTAGTAGTCATCAGTATGGTTTTCGTGATGACTACTCCTGTACCTCTCAGTTGATGCACCATTTCCATGAATGGTCCAAAGCACTAGATAAACGCTTCTCTGCGGATGTCATATTCCTGGACTTTGAAAATGCATTCGATTCGATTCAGTTCCTCACGACCGTCTTCTACTCTAGAATGCTTTTGCATTACCGGCTCTCTACTTTCCTGGCTATCCAATTTTCTCCAAGGTCGATCTCAACGTGTTGTAATCGAGGGCTGCCAATCTGACTGGGCGCCTGTCATATCTGCTGGTGTTCAACTGGGGAGCATCCTTACCCCCCTGTTATTTATCCTGTACTTCAAAGCTATGTCAACGACATCCCAGAATTTTATCAAGTCTTGCAGACATGTTTTCTGATGACATGTTAATCTATAATTGCTGCCCTCCATCTCAAACGTCCACCACTGCCCAGGAGAGTCTAGATCAAGTCACTGATTGGTGTAGTTCGTGGCTTTTAAAAATGCTGATAAATGCGAGTCTAGGAAGCGTGCCTGAGTTTTGATTGGTTTACATCCCCAAAGATATCTGAAATAAAAGAAAAAAAGCCTCTGGCTGGCTATTTAAAAACTTTTCTCGTGTTCTCCCAAGAGCCCGCGTGGGTATTTACGTTGGTAAACCGATAGAAAGGGAGGTCGATTGCTTAGATATTTTATATTTTACTCTGCAATTGCAATGGTCCCACCAGACAAAACGAATACCTGAAGTACATTTATGTAACGTCCTTCTCAACCCGAGTAATATCTTGGCCCGTTCGCTGACAGCTGACTAAGGGTGAATGAGATTTAGATTGCATAGAACAGCTGTGGTAGACAAAAAAAGGAGCAATGACGGAAGCTTGCACTCCAAACTAAATTTCCCCGTTCCAAGGGCACCCCTTAGATAATTAGAACGACAGCCTTTCCCAGCTCTTTTTGATAAGGGGTATGTTTGTAAAGAAACTGTGGTGTTGCCTAGCTAGGTGCAGGTGTGTATAACAAGACAAATTAGTTTTAATCAACTGACTTGATAATGTCAATTGGCCAACGTAAAGAGTTTGTAAAGCAGATGTTTCGAGCGTTAGCACTTCGTCAGAGCGAATACTGATACGAATTACGAGCTGTGTCTGTTTTATAGGCAGAAAATGGAGCTACACTATTGATGGGGACGATTGGTAACGAGAAAAACGAAATAAACTAGTTGACCGAAAAGCGTGATAGTGTGAAGATTTAAATAGTGCCGATTTGAGAGACGAAATATTGTTCTAAAGCTTCGCAGCTTTCCAAACTGCCCTGATTTAGGGAAAGGTTGCAGACTACCATATGTTGCTTAAAATGACCTAGCAACTGTTTTTGATGCGTCCTTGTCTTTCTGTAAGTTGTGTTTTTCTGACTGTTTTGCCAATAAAGAACGAATTAAAGGCAGGGAGCAGACAAGCCAGCCGAACCCACCGATCATATTCCCATTAATCGCATGAAAAATTTCAACCTAAAAAGTGAGAAGAAAGAACCGGTACGTATATAAAAAAACTAGGTAGCTTCCATGCGTCAATGTCGACCACTCCGTATAAGATCGAAATAACTAACATCAGGGTCATCCATAGCGGGGATCTGTCTTTAGACATAAGTAATTAAGTATGATCCTTTATTTAATCATGGTAAGAATTAAAGCACGACATGTTTAGGGCTCGTGTGTAATTAGCTGGTGCCTGAGTCACCCACAGTAAAAGTGGAAAAAAAATTAAATGAATTATCAGACTTAAATGTAAATATATGGCAATGCAAAGTGTATCTTTCTTATTTAAGAAAAAATTCAAAATTGGGCATCTTCTTCGCCTTAATTTGGGATCAGATTTCACCTTTCTATAAGATTGCTTAAAATTCAAGAGTCATGAAATAGAATGATATTCTGAATGTAATGTATAAGACACTTTAAGTGAAAATATTCAACTTATTCCTTCTCTCAGTTACACAATAACAAAGTAATTACAATATAAAAGTGTCGATAGTGCCAAATAAAAAATTCCGATGAGTGGGTAGGGCCGTGCAGCAGAAGAAGCTGCGAAACAAAAGAAAACAGTGTCAAAAAGTCTCGACCAGCATTGTTTATACATGTAGTTTTGCGTAGGTGCACTCAAAGATGTAACACTTGCGGGGCTATGGAAACAGCTGAGGTGATGGACATGCCACCCCTAACACAATAAAATGATAGCCTATAAATTTAGTTTACTTCATCTTTATGTTAAGTAATAACCTTTTGATTAAAGCGAAAAAACTTAGAGGGCTCAAGTGTAGGACAGCTTGCTTACCCTTACACTGCCTGCCATTTCCAAGATATCCTTTCTAGCAGGAACAACTATATGATCCGCAGGTGTTAATGCACATAGCTTTTACGTGACAATTGTGGATACACTCCTTACACTCATCCACATCATAACACGAGAAACCATTACCACGGAAGCCGGAATTGCAACTGCATGTATAGGAACCATCGGTGTTTCTGCAATTTGCATTCCAGCCACAAGGCCCACTATTTTTGCACTCGTCATTATCGTGGCAATATTTTCCGTCGCCTCGGTATCACACAATGCACTTACAGCTGAAAGAACCAGGGGTATTCGTGCAACTTGCTTTGGAACTGCATTGAGCTGTCCCTTCCTTGCACTCGTTGATATCTACGAAGGAATTAAGTAGGTTAATCATCGCTCTTATCCAGTGATACAATTGTAAACGAACCGTAACCGTAGATAAAATCACGCTCTTATTCTTCCACTACATGACTTGAGTCTCAAAATAAGAAACCTAATAGTAGAGGCCATGGACTACCGTTTTATAGCGCGTCAACTGATAATTGTATGCTTACCATTGCATGATCGTCCATTTCCACGATACCCGTGGTTGCATATGCAATTGTGCGATCCTGCGATGTTTACACACCTGGCGTAAGGGCTGCAAGGATGACTTCCATCGCCGCACTCGTCAACATCTCGACACACATAGCCATCGCCATAAAACCCAGAACGGCACATGCATTCATGAGAGCCCATAATGTTTTTACATTCCGCGTTCCTATTACACTTGTGGGTTCCATCGCCACATTCATCAATGTCATGACAGTAGAGTCCATTTCCTGAGAATCCCCGTCGACAAGTGCAGTTGTAGGAGCCGACAGTGTTATTACAAGATGCATGAACACTACATTTGTGAGTGTCAGTCTTGCATTCATCGATGTCATGACAAGACTGTCCATCCCCTTTAAATCCTTCCAGACAACTGCACTTGTAGGAACCTATGGTCTTATTGCACGATGCATGAACATTACAGTTGTTTTTATCTGTAATACATTCATCGATGTCGTTGCAAGACCGTCCATTGCCTTGGAATCCTTCCAGACAACTGCACTTGTAAGAACCGACGGTGTTTTTACAGTGTGCATGAACACTACAGTTTTGTGTATCTGTAATGCATTCATTGATGTCATGACAAGACCGTCCATTGCCTTGGAATCCTCCCAGACAACTGCACTTGTAGGAGCCGACTGTGTTACTACAAGATGCATTAACACTACAATCGTGTGTGTTAGTCTTGCATTCATCGATGTCATGACAAGACTGTCCATCCGCTTGGAATCCTTCCTGACAACTGCATTTGTGGGAGCCTTGAGTGTTACTACAGGATGCATGAACACTGCAGTTATGAGTATTAGTATTGCATTCATCAATGTCGTAACAAGACCGTCCATTGCCATCAAATCCATCGAAACAACTGCACTTATAGGAGCCTACAATGTTGTCACACACTGCATGGTCGTTACAACTGTGTATTTCGCTCTGACATTCATCGATATCCTCGCAAGAGTAACCGTTTCCGCGGAATCCTCTCAAACAGCGGCAATCGTACGNAGAATGATAAAAATTATCTGCAAAATCAATGATATATAACTGACTAAAAATCTAATTTGTGTAACGTAATTATTTTGACACATACAATTTGCCGCAACAGTCTTCGTGCTCATCAAAATTTAACTTTATTTGCCCTTTTGACAGGGATTGAGTTTCTTTCGTCACGAAAATTAGTAAGGAACAACTTAAAACACGCTCACTTAATCGTGCGTCAGCGAAAATAATGATCCTTTAACCATGTGTTATACTGTTTTGTTCTGTTCTGTTCTGTTAAAACTAAGATAAATTTTACAATCCCCTCTGTCCAGTCTACTTAGCTTCTTCCAAATCGAAGTGTAAGTAAAAATGTAAAGTGGTGCACAGAAACGTTTAGTTTCTAGTTGACAAGGCTGTGCAAAAATTTATTCATCACTGTCGCTGCATTGTTGATCTGTTACCGCCGCTAATTAAAATTCAGCTGATATATGACTGGGTTCGAGCACTGAGCTATTGGTAAAAAAGCTATTTTCAATGAAACCCTTACTGTTACTCGTGTAAACCTTCGCTCAGGTAACACCAAAGTGAAACACGTTGGTGAGGAACAAGGATAGAGGAGCCTTTTATGTCTATAATACCTACATATCAAAAGTTACCGGATAAGATTAAGTAATTCATTTGAAAACGAGCGCTTATAATGTAAAAAGCTACCTTGCTAATTTATTTTTAAAAGTCAGTCTATCAAAAAAGCTTTTTCTAAAATGTTTAGTACACACTTTTTCAAAACACCTATAACGTAATCTCAAGGAGGATTCCTTTGTTCTTGGAAAAAGAGGAGAAGTGATTTGTGTTCCTCTGTTCAAAGGAAGGTGGTTCTCACAAATTCCATTCTATTCTCATTGTTTTGTTTCTGTAACAGCTCCGACAGTTTTCTATCATTCGTTCTTTGAATTGAGGTACAGTGATTAACATTACATAAAATTCTCCACATTACTGAAAATTTGAGGCTTCGAGTGCAGTGATCTACAAGAAACATGTGATGTCAACAATCACACCGCTGAATATCATTGAGTTACGAGCCACTCCTTTGACTGGGACTCTGCCTAATGCCTAACCTACAGCACTAACTATTTTCAACGACTGACTCTCCTCAACAGGTGTCAACTACTACCAGCACTATACAAACGACGTTAATATTACAAACGAACCTAACAGAACGACCTAAGTTTATGGACTGATCGAAACCGATCACTCACGACCACTCCAATTGAGTCTTACAGTTAATAAAATCTCGGCAAAACTGACCAGTCAGTTTGTACGAACCAGACTTACCGTCATTCGACTGACAACAACTATTCACTTGACTCTGATTATGACTTCCGCACAGATTGTCGAAACGTCAGTCACTATGTCACCTTGCCACTACCGGTCCTTCTCCGGACTACACTCATCCGGACAATCAGACAACAAAATCATGACCACGCCCACCCGGACGATCAAATTTACATTTTTTAAAATTGTACAGTGCTATTACTAGATTAACTTCACTCTCGTGGCCTTTTTGTCTTGTAATTGACGAATATTTAAGCTGTAGAGAACTTTTTCTGCGCTTGCATACCCTTATTTACATACGAGGGTGGTTTGGAAGAATTCAGGAAAGTTGCACAAACCCGGGACGCATTCAAAGGCTTGCATGAATTTCGAACATTCTCCCAATCCCAAACTCAATCTCGTCGTGGGAGCTCGCGAAACCCTTGACTTTGAACTGTGTTTTTAAATTGTGCCGGTAAACACAAAAAGCGTGACGTCACAACTGTGTCCACACGCGCGTGCGCGCACACACACACACACACACACACACACTCNGTAGCGGTAGCGGCAGTAGTAGGAGTAGCAGTAGTAGCAGTAGGAGTAGCAGCGGGAGTAGCAGTAGCAGCAGCGGCAGCGGCAGCGGCAGCGGTAGCGGTAGCGGTAGTGGTAGTGGTAGTGGTAGTGGTAGTGGTAGTGGTAGTGGTAGTGGTAGAGGTAGTGGTAGTATTACCATTATCCGGAAGCGAGTAATCAGCAAAGTTTTGAAAGATAATTACGCGAGAGAAGGCTTTGGTTAAAAATTCATTATAAACTATCACCCTTCTTGAGCCAGTTATGCCTGCGGCGACGTTGAACTTCTGTATTTGGTTTCTATCACGGACCGGTTGAAAATTTCGAAATGCATTTTTTCCTTAATCTTTACCGAGCTCATAATCTACTATAACCATAACTCTATTGACACAGTGAGTCGATGCGCCTTTAAGATTGCTGTTCCCAGCAGAGTACATGATGGGTGGTACATGGCGACTTCACGATGGCCTAGCTCATAGCAAAGTCCAATTGGCTTTAGTGGTGCAGCATAAGAGTACAGAATCTGACGGTCTTTATCGCACCATTTTAAGCATCTGTTTAAAAATATTCTTTAGGCAAAGAAATCCTTTACTTCATACCCTTGCATCGAAGTTGGGTTCCACTCCAAGTCCCAGTGTGCAAACATGTTCGTTTCTGCGATCCGCTCACCATGTAGTATCCCGTCATGCAAGTGAAGAAACAAGAAGTGCCGTATGTAGAGGATGCACCAGCACAACCATAACCTGATTTAACTGAGTTTACTGGATCAGCCAGGGCAGGGCAATGGATAGCTGGAGCAAACAACAGTGTTAATCAAGGAAAATTCTTCATTCATAATCGAAGAAGCAATTCCAGGATTTGATTGGAAACTGGAGTCGCCATCATGACGTACTCCTCGGAATCTATTGGAATACATGTGCTTTTCACGTCGGGTATGCTACCTGCTTGCCAAACTCTTACACGTCCTTAATTTCATGTAAAGTAAATAGTGTCACTAAAGATCTCCGCAACTAAAACGCATTCTTTAAAACAAAATTCGTATTGTATACTATTAGTACAACACCTTATTAAATTTTTTTCAGAGTGCAGTAGAAAATAACTGTCATTCGTTCTTGTCCCCTTCTTCGTGTTCACTCTGATAGACGGACTTTAAAAATGCTAATTGAAGGGATCCAAATTCTGTCGCGTACTCTCATATTTGACTGAAAAAATGCACTTTCGTTTCATGGTTTCTTACCTTCACAGTGAGTATCATTTCCCGTCCAGCCTACTACATTTGTCCTAGACTTTTTGTCACATTTTCTTTCTTTAGACCCTTTTATTTCATATCCTTTATTGCACGTCAAGCGGCAGGTTCTACCATAAACGTTTCCACAAGCAGCGTTCTCTAGTACTCCATTTACGGGGGCGGATAGAACGGGGCATCGCAGTACTAAAATTAAAGTGAAGCCTATAAGAAATACGCATAAAGGGGTGCCTCTTTTGATTAACTGTAGAAAAGAATCAAAATTTCTTTGATACCCTGTCTGTAATTAATTGGTCTTGAAAATATACAGGTCCGAATAGAATACAACGTCGACTGAAAGAAGATACATCTTTCAATTCATTGTGGGAATTTATCCGAATTGATTTGATACATTGTTTGTAATTGGTCCTGGTCGCAGCGTTCTCACAAACTATACATTAGTGTTTTTAAAGTAGTGTTCGTCATTGCGAAGATCGCTCTCATGCTCGTTCTTTAACCGAAGTTCAATAAATGACTTTCCTATATTCACAAACATAAACTATACATTATTACAAGTACCCAGTTATGTCAATTCCGAGAAGATTCTCGCTCAATACGCTGCTAAGAGAAAAACATACCAAGACTCTTTTTCCCTCGACCCCTAATCTCCAAGATAATTCTCGATAAACTTATCCAGACTTTTAAAGTTCGCCAGTGTCCTGAGAATAATTTTTACATTGCACTTGGCACGTTGCATAAACGTTTGTGGAACACAAATAAAAGCTATACCAGATGTACACGCCAGCCAAAGTTAAGACATGGATTTGGCCATTTGAAGATCCTCTCACGACTTTTAGAAAGTGACACAAGGGCAACGAAAGAGAAATTACTCATGAGATGATGCCTCTATGTACGACTCAGTCTTTAGCTAGATTCTATTTTGGAATGGATCCTACATATACCTTGGACAGTGACTTGAAAGTAACAAAACTTCACGTTCCCGGATGGATCAGTTGCTGTGTAGGTTACGGAATGGCTTCCCTCAGAAAAAATGTGCGGAGAGGTCACGTGAGGAGTCACAGTCACGATGGCCTGATCATTATCAGAGGCTATGACTGGTTCCCAGCTTATTGTGGCCGACGTTTTACCTTCGTCAGCAAGAACACTCCGCGCAAGTGGGCAGGTTTCACCAAATGAAGGGGCTTCTAGATCTAAAAGAAGAAAACAGCCAAAAAATTGGAAAGTAATTTTGAATTTGAAGTTTTAAACTAAACAATTTTGGAGACTTTATGTAGAAAATTTTAGCAATCGATCAACCAACCCCTTTCTGTGGCGATCCAAACATTTTGGAGATAAAGTATTAGACTTTGTAAGGTAGTTTCAGTACATGCAAAGTACACTAAAGAATACATTGACACAAATAAACGATTTGCCGTTCTATAATTATTTATTCCAGTGTGACCATTGAATCTCTAATAAATAAAATGCCGGTTCGAATGCTTTCTCTTGCACATACTCGACCAAGAATATCATGCACGTCACCCAATGCGTTTCCCTGTTGTTGAACATTTGGCGAAAGTTACCTTGACAAAAGAACCCTCCATGTGTCCAGTTTCCATTATCGCACTTGCTTGAGTTGGGTCCAATGACTCTGAATCCTGGCCTACATTCATATAGACACGTCAACCCATGCAAAGGCTTGATTTTGCACATGTAAGGAGTAATTTGCCCATGATCCGGCTCGGTTAATGGTTGACATTCACGCACTAAAGTGAAACGATGTTCATGATATCAGCTACTAGGGATATTACATTTTGGAAGACAACAAACTTGTTAGAGCTTAAGCTTCGTTCTTGAATTTTTTTTATTTCTTTGTCTGTGTGTTTGCCTGTTTCTTTTTCGAGGAGTGGGGCTTTTTTGTTTGTTTATATGTTTGTTTGCTTTCTTTTTCCTCTTTCTTTTGCTGTCTTCATGCATGTGTTACTTCTTTCTTATATTACACCCCTTATGTCCACAGATCAACCTCTAGAAATGGTGGTTCATCTATTCGTGGAAGGCTTTGATCTGGATTGATGAGTTCGCGTCGGGCCCCCCGCCAGGGCCAGCGCCTGGTGTTCTAAGGTAAGGCGCGCGACGGTTCTCCAACATCCTTACATGTAGTTATACAAAGGTGGAGATAAAATTTCTAGGAAGCATTAGCTGTCACAGTGATATTTTCGCAGTTCTCCTGGTCGTTTTATTGTGATGGAAACAGAAATAAGCTTTTGCAGTCAAGGGTGACCTCTTCTCCTCCCACCAGAAATAGGTTTCCATCCATCCATTGCTTTGTTTCGGCACACACTTCGGTTTATTTATTTGTTTAGCTTCTCACTTCCTCGAGTTCCTCCCCAAATAATATTTTTTCATCATATTTGCGTAGCTATTGATTGGGCGCTTACCTTTACAGCTTGCTGTAGTCCTGGGATCCCATTCCCCCTCACTGCCACAAGTAGAGCTTGATTTCCCAATTACTTCATACCCCTCGTCACAGGTGATCTCACAAAGTGTCCCAGGATCTACCTGTGGTTGGCCTGCACAAGATGTCTGTCCGTTGTTGGGAGCTGGCCACTCACTGGTGTCGCAGGTAATCCCTGTGAAAAGTTTACACTGAAAGTTTTAGAGCAGTTTTATACGAAGTAGACATAATTATTTTTTTAAAGATAACTATACGACTCTACTTCGTAAATAAGCTTTACGCAAGTAACTAAAGCATCACGAAGGCAAATTGTAATTTTAGCGAAGAATTCTATCTTTTAGATTTGTATCTTGTAGAAGAAGGACCATTACCAATATGATGGTGTCTACACGCTTCAAATACGCTCTGCACAGAATGTCAATTTTCTACCTTTGTTACATCAAACTATCAAGGCTTTCTCCTCTAGAAAAATCCCTTGGCTAGCACCTATCTCCAGCTCATTTCTCGTGAGCAAACGACTTACTGAAGCCGAAATAACATCACCTATCCCTACTTAAGTAAAACCAATTATGGTCTCTTCATTTTCGCATTGACAAAGACCTGCTATCTTCTGCGATATTCTACTGTTGCTGCCCTAATACTCATGGCTGGCGATATTTCTCCAAACCCTGGTTGGACTCGCACATGTCGTAGAGGAAAAAGTTCTGTCCCCATGAACACAAGAAATTTAGAATCTCTCTCCTTAAACGCAGGAAGCTTGATGAGTCATCATAAAAAGAAATAACAAAATCATCTCTAACCTAAACTGCTTACAAGATCTAGTATGTTCGGAAAACACTGGTTTAGTCGAGGTCTGCGAGACATGGCTCAATGATAAGCACAAGATGAACATAATTTCTCGAATGAATTAATCACGCGAATGAAACGAAAAGAACACTAATTAACCACTTGATTAACCAACTTATCAATTAGTTTTCCAAGAAACCAATCAGAAATCGACAAAACGTGTCTCGCTTTGTTGATCAAGTATTTCATGAATGATTTTCCATAGTTTTTTCAGTTTACCGAAATAACACAAGGGTAATCTAATCGATTGAATGCACATGCTCAGTTTGCAATTGCACTCGTCAAATCATTGGGTTTAGTTAGTTGTGTCACACCCTTTGTCGAAAACTTTGAGATCGATCGCAAGTTTACCAGTCGAGGTGATACCTTACTCATGCCGCTTTATTATTAAGGGTTTATTATTAAGGGCAACTGAAGCCTAAAATTGAAACATTTTCAAAAGGCAGCTTATATTGGTTAAATATTGATGTTCGGATCTTTTCTTCAGTCTTTGGACGCAACCTCGCCTTAAATTTTTTTTTTTTCATACAACGATTTTGACCCAGTAAAATTTTCTGCTCAGAAAATCGATGTCAGCAGTTAATATTCTTTCACTGTTGGGGAAGAAAGGTCAGAACCCTTGGCCACTCTCGCTTCAAAACTTGCATGTGACAGGTACGACGAAGTCGTGTGGCCTTTCATCTCGTTTTCCTGTGTTCTTGAAGCGTAGTTTGAAAAAAGTAATAGCGAAAATCTTAAAATGCTTAAATAGCGCTATCTACTGCGAGGATCGTGCATCATACGTATCTAATACCGCAGTACAAAATATATGAACTTCATATATTTCATTGTATCTCATTTATCACTTTCATGGGTTTATTACGAATCAACTTAACGGCTTGCACCCAGTTGGCTTGTTAGCTCAATTGGTAGAGCGCTGCACTAGTATCGCAGAGGTCAGTGGTTCGAATCCCGTACAGGCCTGACTTTTTTCAGGTCTGACTTTCGCTACCGCTTAAATAGCGCTATCTACTGCGAGGATCGTGCATAACATGTATTAGAGGGATATGTTTGTGCGCATTGGTACACTTATGTGCTCTTTTGCAAACACAGTGTAAGTTCTTTCGGGGTTATCTTCTGTTCGCACCACACTGTAAAAATTGTCACAACGAATGTTTTTTTTTTGGAGTAGCGTTCCGGCCACTTGAGACGTGCGAATTATTTGTGTAACCTCAAATGTCAGTCAATCGAAATTGATACCGAGATTTCGTGACAGTGCGTTTCCTTTAATGTCGAGAGTTCAAGGACTAAGCGCAAAGCAAAATGCCCTCGAAAAATGTTTTGATCGCCATTCCTTGCTGTTTGCTTGCCATGCAAAACCTGATTGTGAAACTCTCAGCTAGCTACTTCAACTTCGCTTTGCATCGAAGCGCCAGTGCTTGCAACTTGGGGTTGACGTTGTTGAAGGTAGTTGTATTGTGGCAGTGGCTGTGGCTCTTTGTGGTAGCATTGAAAACCATAGTAAATGGCGTTACAATATTGTTGAGGTTTAGGAAAGTAAGAGTTTCGAACGAAATAGTGTAGGATCGCTTTCTCTGTCTGACCTTTCGCCTCGGAGACCCATCTCTTAATGACGTACCTAACATAATTTTGCCTGGTATCACTAACGAAATATGATGACTATTGAAGAGTATTGAAGGAAAACAGATTTTCTCGCCCCACAAAAAATTGTAAGCCTCCAAAGCTAATTGACGGTGTCTGTGAAGTTTGGTGGCACTTGCGAAAATTTTGGTGGGTCAAACAAATCGTTTGCACTAAAAATGGTTTCGCGTTGACACATTTTTCCGCAAAACAAACAAAATTTCGCGGATTGCGAACAGGCTCTCGCTATCGATTTCTGTTTGAGAAAGAGCTGGTGTTTTAAACATCACCCGTGTGGACATTCGCATCGCTTTTCTTCGTCTGAAGAATAACTTGGCACAAAGTGCAAGGGCCACAAGCCGCTCATATTTGCGAAAGAAAGACCGGTAAATATAAAGTTTGCACATAGTATGCACTAATACGCGCCTTTGTAAGTGAGAGGAGGGAGAAGAATTTGCTGCGGACTCACTTGGCTGCGCTTCAAGAGTGCACAAAATTTTGACCACTGCGATGTCGAATATCGTTGTCGATAAGAGTACAGACCATCCTTAACCGCAGCCGATTTGTTAATTCTCCTGAAAAAGGCTATGAACAAGTGATAATTGACGTATCGGAGGTATAAGAGGCAAATCTTGCATAACATTGAAAGAAAAAACAGGCGCTACAGCAGAGGAATTTTCACATTGTAAGAATCACTTATGCTTAATTACCATTACAAATGCCTGTCCTTTGTTTGTAAATCAGCAAGAGAGATAGAGTGAACATCCACCTCTTTAAATGCATATTGAAGGCGACAGAAGATGAGTCCCTGACAAAAAAACAACGCTCATTTGTAGACAGCAGTGACATTGATTTAAGTATGATATTTCTACCGGGGATCTCAGAATAACTTTTTCCATAAGCGGCTGCTGATGGTTTGAGGCGGCTGGGCCTGGAAAAGGGACTATAAGGCGAAACTCAACCACGTGAGCCTGTTCGTAGCCTAAGCCGATGGCAGCAGAAGATCTTGTAGGAGGCGGAAGTATCGCTGTTAACCGGCCTTTATTGAATCCCCTGTATGAATATAGTCACCAAGAACGAAGTGCTACACAACAAACGAATCGAACTTGAATGAAATCAGTATATGTACATATACATAGAACTTTTGATTTGTGCCATTTGGGTCCCTCTAACTTGAAACATGCACGATATCATATGATGCATTATGCATCATCTTAAATACCTAATCGAAGGAAAATAAGTGAACAAATCAGAATATCAACACCATACCTTTAAAACCAATTAGAAAGAATTACTTAAAATAGCACTATCACTGAAGAGACCAGTACAAGCAAAGGACGGCAAACATGAGCAGCAGATAGGAAGGGCACCCTCCAATACTTATGGCGCACATTAGTTTCCTCGGGCCTGAGCGAAGCATTGCCAGATTTTCGGTTTGCAGGGATTTGGCCCCAAACGTCACAGGACTGTTACCATGGCAAAAGCAAATAAACACACCCTTAACTTTGTTTTCATTTGACACGGGAGTACTCTAAAAAAAAAAACAAGAGCAAATTATATCTCCACCATTGAGAATGATGTATGAAATCTTGACACTGCCTCTATTTTAAGATTTCAGAAACTCTTTAGTGCCGAACATACTGTTGTGAAACGTGTTATTGCATAATCAATAATTGCAAAAAACAAATAGATAAAATAAATAATCGGTAGAATGTTAGCTTATACACGCAAGTGCATTATCTAGAGGTATTTAAGGCGTACGTTTGGGCTGGAACATTCCGTAACACATAGAAATATGTGACACATGCTCCGCAAATAGCGGGTGTGGGTTTAATAGCGCTTTATACTATTACTAAAAATAGATTTTGTTGCATGATAGCCTATGAGACCCCCCACACAGACTCAGACAAACATTGCGGCCAGCTTAAAGGAAATTTGCCAGCGAGAGTTGTAAAATTGAAACAAAACGACGGAAAATTTCGTCAAAAAACGACTTAGCGTTCTAAAAGGAAGCGGCACGGTTGGTACCAAACACTGTTGTTGGGGTGAGTGTAAGACAGACTCAAGATATGCAGATAAATGGCCAAAATCACTGAAAGAGTTAGAGGAATCGGGGAAGAAAGTATTTATTCCTTTCCCAAAACCTTCGCAAGACATGGCAAAGTGCAAGCGTTGGCTAGTAGCTTGTTCGCGTGAATTTTTTACGGAGAAAAACATAACAAGAAACACTTATATTTGTGCTCTTCACTGGCCTGGCGAAAAAGGTCCAACAGCCGAATTTCCCGATCCACTGAAGGCAAATCTAAGACCAGCGCAAGCAAGTCGAGCACGTGCTCCCAAGAGAAAAGCACCGAAAGAAAGAGAAAATCCAGCGTCAAAGAAACAGAAATTATTCGATGACAACTACGAGGAACAATTATCTAACGATATTACAGTTTCTGATGATCATGATCAGGAGTCACAAGAAGTTGAACCGACAGTCGACGAAAGCAGTTTTATTGATGAAGAATGTGTTGATGAGGATTGTGCCGTGATCGATACACACAGTTACGTTAACCCTTCAGGAAAGTTGGTTTCTGATCAAGGCTCTCAGACTATATATTCAAAATACGAGTTGTCTGCAAAGGTCGAAACTATGATTTTGAAAAACGACGTCTCTACAACGCAGTTACAGGGTCCTAAAATAGTGAGTACTTTATCCTACGAAAATATCGTGCAAGATGTAGCTCTCATGAAACACTTCACCGGCCTCAGGCCTTCCCAGTTTGAAGTTTTGCATGATTTTCTTGACGATGTTTGCCCTTTGGAGACAATCAACTACTGGAAAAGTAAAGATTGCCCAGCAACGGAGAATGCAAGAACTGGCCCAAAAGCTGATTTTTCATCAAGAGAAAAACTTTTCATTTGCCTTCTAAGACTGAAGAGGGGTTTTACTCTCAATACTATTGCAGCTCTTCTTAGTACCCCAAACAGGAAAATTAACTTTTCCTACATTGCAAAGATCTTTACAACATACATTCAGTTGATGTATGTAATTTTTAGAGACATGCAAAACTTTATGTTTCCAGAGAGAACCCAATTTAGCAGGTTCCTCCCTAAGGTATTCAAAACCATGAAGAACATACGTTGTATTGTTGATTGTACTGAATTTAGAGTGGAATGTTCCAGGAATTTTGCTAGGCAAGGAAACACTTTCTCTTCCTATAAGCACACCAACACATTTAAGTGTCTCATTGCTGTAACCCCCTGTGGTGGAGCATGTTTTGTTTCTGATTTGTTCGAGGGTGATATTGATGATGTTCGCATCTTCAAGGAAAGTGGCCTTTTGAAGCACCTTAAACCATATGACTTGGTTTTAGCAGATCGTGGTTTCACTGTGCAGGATCTCTTAAATCCTCTCCAAGTGCAATTAAAAATCCCATCATTTTTAAAAGGTAGAAAAAGTCTTAGTGCTGCAGAGGAATTGGAAACACGTAGCATTGCAAAAGCTAGGATTCATGTAGAGCGTTTCAATGAACGCTTAAAGCAGTTCAAACTGGTCAGCAGAAGAATACCTTTGTCTCTTGCTCCTGTCGCAACTCAAATGGTAGTAGTTGCAGCATGCCTTGTCAATTTTCAGGCCACCCTTTGTAAGTAGACTTAATATTTTAACTTAAGTTTACAAGGCTCTAACTAATGGATGTGTATAGCAGGTCATCTTCTTATAATAATATATTTAATTTGAGATGTAAGGTAAATTTTGATTTTATTATCTATTGCTTCCAGCAAGCTATGTTTATATTCTATAAAACAGAACATTTTGAGAAATAAATCTTATTTACATTTCTACACCTGTACACAAAATGTGGATGTTAATTTTTAAAAAAAGTTTNAAAAATTTATTAATATGCTGCTCGTTTACCTCCCTATATCTGGCAGGCCTCGGATCAAACTCAATGACGGACAAAGTTTGCTTGGACCTCTTGCTTGGATATGTCGCATCGCTTACTCTTCTGGGATTTTTGTTTCTCTTCTTTCCTTTATTCCAAGAACATTCTTGGCTTGTGCAAGGTGTTTTCAACATTGTCCCATGTTTCTGAACATGGTCAAGGATACAAAATAAAACGGCTACAACATGACTACTACGACCTAAAGACGAAGCCCGGCAAGGATTACAAGACGCATGAAGAACGGCACCACTGTTCATAGACAAAACAATAACAACATTGTGCGGCAACTCTGCTCTCATCGACGGCCCAGCGTGAGCCCTCACTCTTTTCTTCGTCACGCGGAAAGTTTACATCCTTCGAACAATGCACGGGGAGAGAATGGTTTTGCTCGGGAATTCCAGGTATAATATTCCTTTTTTTCCTTAGAAAAAGGGAAATTCAACGACACGATCACTCTTGCCCGTAATTTCGAAACCAAATTTTACCTATCTTTTCAAAGCGATTGCTGAAACTTCGTAAAACCGAAATATTTGACCACTTGCTAACTTAATTTCCGTGATATTTAAATATTCTGTACATTACTACCTTGAAATCAATTTATTATGCAATTATCATAAAGGTTCAGGATTTATTCGATGATTGGTGTGTTATCGATAAAAATAACGAAAGTTTATCTTAAAAATCAAACACTCAAATTGATTACCGGAAGTTGCCAGAAAGTAATTTGTGGGACGCGTTTACAAAAAAACAAATTCCACTATCTGCTTTTCCTGGCGATCGATCATTAATACTGGCGTAAACTGTTAAAACAGCAACCTTGTTATCGAGCTAAAAAATAGGAAATGCGACTCTAGAAAGGTCTTGATTCACAGCAGAACTAAAGAAAGTAAAATTCTATCAATTATGCAACTGCGGTCCAAACCATGTCGAAAGTTCCATGGTGCTATCACACTCATGGTGCTGAGATCACTCGAAATTTATGTATTTTTTTTTCGTCTTCTTTCTATTTTCTCTCATCTGGCTGAAGACAAATTTTCAAAACCTCCTACTACGGTCGAATACGACTGCCTGTTTGCTATACCAACCCCTGCCCCTTCCCCATATGTATTTGTTTGTTTCAATTAAGAATTTGATATTTTGTAGCAATTTAAAGACATGTCTTCTAAATTAAAGAAAGATCCAGAATACAGCACTCATCACGGAGAACTGGAGTATAATCGAACTAAAAACCGATACAAAGATATCGTGCCCTGTAAGCATTTATTCAGTTACCTACATTAGGTTTCAAATGTCTTCTAATTTTACAATTTGTTAGTTAAAGTGGAGAGTAATAGTGGTGAATATTTACTGCAGTGCAAAGCTACAGGGTAAATATTCACGTCTTTCACCTTTATGTCATCGTGAATCATTGTTTTGTACATACCAAAGAGATACCAAACAGCAAGTTTATTTCTTTCTATACTCCGACCAGAAAACGGTAGGAAATTAAACTCTTGATGTGCAATTTTGAATTATTGGCTCTAATTAGAGGTATATACTACTTACTGTTCCCTTCTAAACTAGCCAATCAGTATGTGCAAAAAGCATTATTCATCTGTGTTGTATATACTAAAATGAGGTATTGCCCTGTTTTTGGTAAACCCTTAACTATGACTATCCTCTAATTTCTTCATACAATATCGCCCTTAGATGAAACATTAAGTTCACAAGAGTAAAGGAAGTGATCACTAACTAAATATGGTTTTGATCGTTGAACAATTTCTCTTTGTCAGCACCTTAGGGAATGCTTAGATAACAGTTTGGAAAATGCATGCATACTTTTACAGTGGTTAAAGGGTCAACAATGTACAATATAGTGGAGGGTTCTAGACGATCATAATCATATAACTCATTGGTTCACTATTGAAAATAGTTGCAGGGCATAATTTCAAGGGTCAATTTGCACATGTCAAGTTATACAAAAATCTGTTATTTTCTTGGGCAAGTTTACATAGAGGCAATTATTCATTGAATATGTTAAAGCTTCATTTATTCTTCAAGTTAAAAATTTCTCTACCAGTGTTTTGTTTAGGAGTAAAGTTGAAAAAAAAGAAAATGGAAGCTTAAATTCTCATGAACTTGGATTGAAAATAATCATGGAGAACTTGAACCAGAACGAGTAAATTTAGATACACTGCATGGATAACGATGTTTGTGAGCAGTCAACATATTTGTGCCCAGATGATACTGATCCATCCTTTGTGATAATTGTTGTTATTACACTTTTAGTTGACCATAATCGTATCATCCTTCCATCTTTACCCGATAAACCTGGTTCAGACTACATCAATGGAAATTACATCAAGGTAAGATATAGAGTGTGATATGGAGCTGGTGACTTCATTCCAAAATGAGGAGAATTATGGCTTTAGTCCTGTATGATGCGTTCAGTTACTCTTCTTTTGTTATGTTACATGATCAGTAGTAAAATTAAATGAAGTAATTGATGCAGAAATTAAAAAAAAAAAGGACATTTAATCAGGGCTCGACACTGAGGGTAGCCAACTAGCCACAGACTAGTAGAAATTCAGTTTTAGCTAGTGTTTTTTGATTTCCATTAACCAGTTTACTAGTAAACAAACTGAAATTGTTGTGACATCTAAGTTATCACTAGTTACTTGGCTAGGGCAAGTTGAAAAGTTAGTGTCGAACCCTGTTTATTGGGAAATCAGGAAACAGCTAGAGCAGTACAACTGGGGATAATTGTGGGAAGCATCGTGGGTGCTGCTTTCTTTGAGCCTCCTGTATAGTTTTTTAAAATGGTGTCACCTTTGGTTCAAATTTACAACAATTCAGAGACTAAAATGTTTCCAAGAAAAAAAAATTATGGAAAAAATGTGGAAGTGAGATTGTGTTCAAACAATATTATTTGCAAGTTATGTTCTAATTTCTCAAGAAAATAAAAGAGTAAAATTAAATGATAAACTAGTAAACAAAAAAAGAGAAAGATCCTGTTACTTTATAACCACAGCTTTTAATATTAAATTTAAAATAATGTTTCTTCAGGGGCTAGATAGAAAGATTTCTTACTTGGCTCTGCAAGGTCCTTTGCCAAGAACAGCTAGTTGACGATTTCTGGAAACTGATAGCATCTCATAAATGTCAGGTAATAAACTTGAACTATGGCAGTGGACTATTTCTTCAGTAGTCTCTTTTAACTCAGCGCTCTACAGTATGAATCTGCTAGTTGTTCAATGCTTAACTACAAGACTGATGCTCATTCTAGTTTGTTTACAACAATACCCTGTTGGGCTGCTTGCTTAACCCACTGTCTATTACTGGATAGATAGTGACAAATGTAACCAATAAGATTGGGTATTAATGATAGAAAGCTAGCAAATCATACTCAGGGGGATGGGGGGGGGGATATCTGATCGAGGCTGCTTATTTTACTCACTGTCTGTTACAGAAGAGACAGAAAGTATTCATGATAGAATGATAGCAAATCATACTCAAAACTGTAAGTCAGCTGTATACCCTTACCAAATCTACATATATGTAACATATATATGTTACATATGTATGCCACATATATGTACCATATATGCCACATATATGTGGCATATATGTCAAATATATGCCACATGTGTGTAACACAAATGTGGCATATGTAGGAATTTGGCACTCATGTTGCATGTATATCACATATATGTATAGGAGCCTGGGTGGGTTCTATGAGTGGTGTTCTTGAAGAAGAGAGATTTATCAGTTCTTCTACATCTGATAACTGACATTTTCTGTCAACTACTGTTTGAATTTTTAGATTGTGATTATGGTCTGCAGAGAAATTGAGATGGGAAAGGTGAGTGTTGATTCTTTGACAGGCATGATCAACTGAGCTAATTTACCGTGATGGCGTACAATATGTTACCAGAGCAAATCAGCTTAGGCAAGTGAATTGACCCCCTTCCCCTCCTTCCCTTCTTGCCCCCCCCCACCATGCACACACACACACACACACACACATGCGCGTACACATGCACGCACACGCGCATGCGCATGTGCACGCACACACACATGCACGCATACGCACATGCACAGTCGCACGTGCACACATGCACACACACGCACATGCACAGTCGCACATGCACACACACACGCACATGCACACACACACACACACCAAAAAAAAAGGAAAAAAGAGGTGACAAAAAAAAAAAGAAAAGAAAAGATAAAGAATATGAAGTAGAAAGTAATGATAGAAAGCCACCCCTGTCTGTAGCAAATTATTGAACACTGTACAAGAAAAATCGTGATAATACTGAAGGGAAGGTATTTTCAATTTTTAAAATATGGTTTTTTTTTTTTGTGATCTCAGCTAAAATGTAAAAGGTATTGGCCAGAAAACAAAGATGAGAAGCTCAATTTTGCTGGCTTGGAAATTATTGAGCTTTATCATTAGTGAGTTATTGACTGAGTTTTTGTATTCGATCTTCTTTTCATCCACAAATCAGTTCTGTGAAATTAATAATTACTAGTAGTTAGAAATTATTCACCAAAGTGGAGGTGAATAATGGTGGATATTCACTAAGCTGCAAAGTGGTGAGGTTAAAATCCACCATCTCTACCAACACTGAGGTGAGTCGTTGTTTTATCATATAATAACAGAACCATACAAAATTAGTTTTTTTCTTTCAATATTCCAAAAGGGGTCGAGAATTAAACTCTTGATAAGTGATTTTGCCTCTCATCGGCTACTCAGAGACTATTTTAAAATTAATTTCTGTGCCAAAAGCCTTGTTTAGAGTATAGAACTGAACAATTGTTTTAAGTATAAATATTTTGGTTCTATATTGTTTTCATGTGCATCATCTAGATTCTTTGAAAATTTACATGTAGGTCTTAATGTCTTGTTGATATTCAATCATTTTCCATTTTTAAATGTAAGCTGAAAACTTATTTATTTCGTGTGGCTTTCTCAAAGTACCCTGTCTGACAATTACTTTTATTAGTATTACTAATTAAGTTCCTTATTAAGATCCTTATTCCCAACTGAGATCCTTATTATGGATATTCCTTATTATTCTTATTTTTAACATACATTGTTGATATTAATGTACATGTAATTAGTTTTATAGCTTTGAATTTACTGTAGTATTCTAAGTTGTTAAGCGCTGTTCAGATCATTGAATGAAAATTGCGCTCTAGAAGTTCTTAAATTAAATTAAATTAAATTACTCCATCGAATGTCGACAGACTTCAGATTACAGTGGTAGTTTAATTGACCGATCGCAACGTCCATGACATTCACAAAAATAACTCAGTTGTGATTTCCATAAATTTATAGTATTTTTTACCGTCGACGGGTAAAATGTAAACATCGAAGGAACGAACCCATTCGAGTGCAGAGGTTATTTTTCCTTAATTATTTCGCCCATGTTCGAATGAAATTTTACTCTGAAGCAGTCATTTGCAATCACAAGATTAGATCACATGAATGTATTTATAATTCTCGTCCACAAAATTTTGATGTAAGTTGTAACTGTAACTTCTGATGGTCAGGTGTAAAAACTGGTCGTTTCTGTTACATTGTTTAATTTGAGGTTGAAGTTAAAACGAAAATCACATTCAAGAATCAAAACATACGAAGAATTAGTTTATATCTATGGTTGGCATTATTACTTGTATTTTGCATAATTAAATAAATCTAATTATTCTCTATAAACAGTTTAATTTCGGGCTAGCTCCTCAGACCTTCGGGCTAGTAATCTCAAGTAACAGCTGTAGTATGGTATCCCTGTGTATTATGTATACGTATCTCACGTGACTAGCACATGGAGATAGATCCGCCATCTTAATTAAAAGAAGACCTGTCGTTCTGTTGACATTTATATTTGTCTCGTCCTGCTTCTTAATATTACAACAGCTGGCCCGAAGGGCAACCTTATCTTTTCATTTTCGTCTCACCCTGTTTTAGTGAGCTCAAGCATACTTCACCTAATTCAAAATTTGTGCTTTCAGTCTCTCGTTAAGTAAATAGTGCGGCGCAGTTTGTTTGTGAGTTCCGTTAGACTGCGTTTGCGAAGAGAACTTGAAATTCGACAGTAGGTGATGTATTCACTTAAAAATTGAAATACCTCTGCAGACGTGTGCACACTGCTTGTGAAGCAGCAAGATGAAGAACGCCCAAATACACACTGATTTTCCCATGCTATAACTGCTTGGAGATCAATACCTGGTAAAATAGAAGTGATATACGTTTAGTGCAGTAAACCAACGTTGTAGGGCCGACAGCGCTAGTAATCTGCGATGAATTTTCTCACCAAAACAGGAAACAGGACATTGTAAATCGTTTTATGTATCCGATCGGCCTCCGTAAATTCCAGCATCCCCATAACATAAAAATTGTTTATGTTATGAAAGATTATGAACTACCACGCAGAAGACGTAGATTCCGATAGAAACAGAAATGCTTCGATTGCAACAAAGATTGCACCTACGAAGACACGAAAGATTGCAGTCTTTCATGGACAAAACGGCAGCTGATGAAAGGGACTTTTCCCGTCTCGTATATAAAGATTTAGCCAATGGTATTTGAGGCGCCCTTTATTCAGCTTAGTGTTATTCTCTTGTCTAACCCAATAGAATTTCAACATCGAGTACAATTTCTTTTAATAGAGATAATAGCTCTAATCTTCTCAACAATTTAAGAGACGGATTCTAGAGAGCAGAATTCTTAGTTCGCAATCCAGAGATAACTTTTCTTGTAATCGGTTGTCATCCTTTCGCGCTAACAGAAGCTGATTTCTTGGTAGTCAATTCTGTAATCAGTCAAAACTGTCAATTTTCACTTAAGGGAGTTGTGCTAACTTATCATTATCGAACTGTTCGTGATTTATTGTCTGCTCGTTGTGAATTAACAAACGTTTCATGCATAATATGTCAGGCTTATCTGCCCAAGGCGATAATAAGGTTTAGTCACAGCTACTGATGCATCACCGATGCTGGGAAAGTTTCTGTCTGCATTTCATATCTTTAGTCAATTTACCAACATAAGTGACCAAGATAGAATTTCTCCTTGCGATATCATTATAATATCAAGCAGACAAGCGGCGAGAATAAAGAAACATATAAAGAAGGAGATTATCAGTTGATCCAATACCAAATTCTCAGAACTAACATCATAAGAATTGTATAGCAGACAGTAAGGAGAATTTCTAACGAGATCCGAGCCTGAAATGGTTAGTACACTCGAGCTCTTTTTAATACTCTGCTTCTACGTTTTATAAACAATAGCTTCCATTTGGCGCGAAAATATGCACTGATATTCCCGTACCCGGAAATGATCTGTTCCGAGATGCAAACAGTTTTCCGAGAGGGAAGCTCACGGAAAATCGTGAGCTCCGAGGAGCAGAAAATGTCCATGGACAAATATACTGGCGTATTTTAGCGCTAAATGGAGGCTATTGTGTTAATTATTCTTCAAATATTGTTCAACAGGAAAAATGTTTAGGTAGAGCTCAGTACCGTTACCGTGGGATCTTAGCTTTTCAGTGTTCTTTAATACGACTCAAAGAATGCAAAAACGTTTTCCTTTCTGTAACAACTACACAACATTTGGAATTAAAACTTAACCGCAAAGTTTTCCGTACATCGCAAGTCTAAAATCTTGCTAATGATTCAAGCGAAGCGCAGTCCTCGCTGAAAAAAAACTTTAAAATCTATATAGAGTGCTTTGATGTGGTACTTCTCGTATGGATCATGTTTTTAGTATTACTTAAATGGGTTTGACTGAATACAATATTTAAAACTTTCAAGAGAGGTGTGTTAAAAATGAATCCAATATCTAACGGTCAATTTTTGTCTAATTATTATCTCTGGGTTGGTTGTATTTGTTTTAATCTCTTTCGACTTTGCACCAAGATACAGCAACTCTTTAAAACCAAT